TGGGTGGGACACTTGCTATTTGGAGATTGAACGGGGCTGTTCTCGGGGCTGCAACATGTAGGCCTCTCACAGCCCAACCTATGCCCTGAATCCTAAACCCTAAATCCTAAACCCTAAATCCTGAACACCCTTTTACCCGCAGCAGGCCGCCTTTTCGGATTTGGCTCCGCTGTCCTTCCGCCGCGGCGGTCGCCTCGCGCTAAGCCCTATTCAAGCCTGCTGGTTTAGGGTTTAGGATTAGGGTTTAAAGGTTTAGGGTTTAGGGCTTAGGGCTTAGGGCTTAGGGTTCAGGGGTTCGGGTTAAGGGATTAGGATCTAGGGTTTAGGGTTCAGGGTTTAGGGGCTAGGGCTTGGGGTTTAGGGTTTGGGGTTCAGGGTTTCAACTCTAAGGTCAAGGTCCCTTTAAGGGGAGACATTGTATGAGGTCTAGTATGCTGGGTCAAGGAACGAAAAGAACATGGAAGTTGTCACAATAGAGAATCAAATGGAAAATCAATTGGAAACTAAGGTTCTACATGGGTGATACAAGGACATAGGGGGAATGCCAGGGCCAGCTTTTACTTGCATGTTCTTAGCAGGGAATGAAAAATGGACCAGAAGGTAGAAATCACCATATTGTTGGGAGCTATATAGAAACCTAGCACCCTACAGACTGCTGTAGGGATGCATGCCTCCATTTCCTAACAACAGCCTTTAAGCAAACGCTGCTTTTGCTGGCTTCTGGAAGTGATATCTGTGCTGTGTAGGCTATATGGCGTCTGCGGGCATTGTTGTAGGGATGATTCAATAGACTTTCTCAAGCTAGCCGCTATGCAATCCTCGACTGGGACTTTCGGAACCCTTTCAGAGAGTTATTTATCAGCGTACTGCTACTCTGAGAGCCACGCCCTGCACTCTAAGCCGTAAACCCCAAAGCCCTAATCCTCAGCAATAAACCTTACCTTCTAAACTCGCAGCCCTAAGCTTCAAACCCCAAACCCTGAAGCCTTAAAACCCCAAACTAGACGTCATGAGCCCCTAAACCCTAAATAGTAGTTTCCATTTTCTTTTCCATTATCCCAATATAGCCCCAATATAAGCCCTAGATAACACCTATATTCTACTTAAGGGGGGCTACATAACCAAAGACCCGGAGGCTGGAATTTGACCCCGGTCGTCCACGTCGGCCTCAGGTCTTGGGGTCGGGGGCCGGATTGGGGGTATTTAGGGTTTGCATAGGGTTCAGGCTTAAGAGATGTTTAGGCTAAAGAGGTGTTTGGGTTTAGAGGTGTTTAGTGTTTAGTGGTGATTAGGGAACAGAGATATTTAGGGTTTAGAGCTGTTTTGGGTTTAGGGGTGTTTAGGGTTAGAAGGTGTTGAGGGTTTAAGGGCTTAGGTTTTAGAGGTGTTCAGGGTTTAGGGTTTCCGAGAATCTCGCCGTTAAGATCCTTCCTATGGCCCCATCCGCTGTTTGGGTAGCAAGGAGAAAATCCCTCAGACCGTAAACCCAAAACTGCACACCTGAAACTGTAAGCCCTAACACACTAGAGCCTTGAACCCTAAACCAAAAAAAACTAGAGCCCCAAACCCGAAACCCCTGAAGTCCCAAACCCTGATTCCCCAAACCCTGGAGCCCGAAACCTTTGTAACTCCAAGCCCCCAATCCTAGCTAGCCCTGAAAGCCAGTTTGTATTGCCTCTTCCATTGACTACTATGTGGGATTATAGGGATCTATAGGGATCTATAGGGATTATAGGGATTATAGGGATCTATTGGGATCTGTAGGGATTATGGGGATATATAGGGCATGCATCTATTCATTCGCTCTGAAGCCTCCTATGCACCATTCTGGGGTTGATTCAGATTCATGTAGAGGCCTGGATACCTTTCCCTCATGTTGCCTACACAGGTAAAGCAAAGTCAACGCTGATTAAGTGTGTGTGTGTGTGTCTTTCGAGTGAAAGTTTAGCAGCTAACCATGATGACAATGCTTTTCATCGTATAGTTTAGAGTCTGGCTTCACGAAGGGGAGCATGCTGCCTCAAGCTTTTTGTGTTTTTGATGATAAGGCACCGGGATTGGAGTGCTCATGCACCACACAATCACCAGAGCAAAGCAGCTTCACCAAGTAGGTCTGCACTAAAGCAGACAAGGCCTGAATCAGTAATTTAGCAGGACTTGAGCGTTCGCAAAAGAGAGCATCATCTTCAGGATCTAGCTTTGGGGCTTGCAAATGATGGCCGATTTCCTGCAGTTTCCTGTAAAACTTAGCTTTTCATGTCATACATCTTGGCGTATGTATAGGAAGACCTGATAGCTAAAAACACGCATCTGGGTACCTTGGCATTTTCCCTCGATGCCCGGTGCAAATCTCAGGGTGGTTCTGTGGTTGGGGGGTCCAAGAGGACCCCAAAGGGATCCAGAAGTTTGAAAAAGCCCTGGTAAATGGGACGCAGATACTGAACCCTAAGCGGCTTAGAACCTAAACACCAAAACCCAAACCCTAAACCCTAGATCTGTAAGCCCTAAGCCCCGAAACCCCTTTATGTCCTTGTATATCCCGGCATGTCCCTACACATAGGCCAAGTCTGATCTTTCCTAAACCCTAACCTTCAACCCTAAAACCTGAACCTTAAAACCTTCAACCCTACGCCCTAAGCCCTAAATCTTAAACCCTAAGCCCTAAACCTTAAAGCCTAAGCCCTAAATCTTAAACCCTAAGCCCTAAACCTTAAACCCTAAGCCCTAAATCTTAAACCCTAAGCCCTAAATCTTAAGCCCTAAGCCCTAAACAATAAAGCCTAAGCCCTAAATCTTAAACCCTAAGCCCGAAATCTTAAACCCTTAACCCTACCGAAGCCAGATCTGGTCCTGGGCAAGACTGTGAAGTTGAGCTGGACATTTTCCTCCGCCAGGACCCAAAGAAAATGGAAGCTGCTAGCTGTTTAGGGTTGAGGGTTTTTGGGGTTCGCTTTCTCAAAGTTAGAGGTACTTTTTTGGGGGTCCTTATCATAAGGACTATACTATTTTGGGGTCTAAAACTGGATAGAATAAAGGAGTAAGAATGGAAACTACTATCTGGGCTTTCCCCAAAATTAAGGGTACCCCCCCAGTTCGGAGAAATCCCCATATACAGGGTTACGTGTTTGGGTTTAGGGTTTCCTGAAGTTAGGGATACCATTTTGGGAGTCCCCATGACAAGGATGAAGGATCCCCTAAAATTGATAGAGTATGGGGTATGTCGGGATCCTTTCTATTCTATCTACTTCAGGGGACTATAGGAATTGGTTTTCTTGGATTATAGTGTATGGCATTTTGGGGTCCATATTGGGGTTCCCCATGTTTCGGGAAACTACCAGGTAAGCATCCCCGCTAAGGGGGGACAATCAAAGTACACCTTGCTCGCGCCTCACAGGCCCAAAGTTAGGTGTTGTGGCACCGCTGGCCTATCGCGCTCCCTTGATTGCTGGTTCTTGGTAGGGAACAAGGGAATACAATCCCTATAAAATTCCTGCTTCGTTTTCCTTATCCCTAAACCCTACATAGTAGTTTCCATTTTCTTTTCCATTATCCCTATATTCTCCCAATATACTCCCTAGAATCCCTATATAAAGCCTATATGATCCCTATAATCCCTATAGTTTCTCTTTTCTTTTCCATTATCCCTATAAGAACCAGTAAGTTGAGCACAAGCTGCCAAGCTGTTGGACGGCGGGCGCTTGTTTGACTGCCCGGGTGCTCCGTAGGGACTGGGGGCCCGCAACTGTTCTTGTGATCAACCCTAAACCCTAAACCCTAAACCCTAGCAATTCCTGGCTTAGGGTTTTAGGGTTTAGTCTCCTACGGTTCAGGGTTTAGGACTCCTTCAGTCCCTACGAATTTGGGGGAATTCCTGAATTCACGGTCCCCTTTGCTTGTGCCTGGCCACTGTGGGTGCTGTCTGAAACCCCTCTGAAGTTGTTTAGTTGTCTTCATATCGCCAGATGATGCCACAGAATCCTGCTTTGGCACCCCGCAAGACGGCCCGTCTTTTTTTGGGAACAGCCCAAATTCCATTGGTGCTTAAGGGGGAGCTGGGGAGTGAATATAGGTATGATTCTAGGGGTATATACAGTGTATATTCTATAATCTAGTGGGATTGTTTCCATTACAGGGCTATATATGGGGATTTTAATACAAGAAAAGGGATTCTTTTAAGGATCCACTCCTACCATTCTCACTTAGGCACCAAACAGAAATTCCGTAGGGAGCTTCGGGATGGTCCTGACCGCTGGTGCCTTGACATTCGACCAGAGCATTTGCCTTATGTCCTTGGCAGTGCTACCTGCATTGCTCCTGGGACCTTTCTGGGATTTTGGAAATCTAGTTCCTAAATGAATACTTTCATTAAGCCTTATGGCCGTATGTAACTCAAGAAGATCAAGAGAGCACGCCAAGTCTGGCGTGGTCTTGGCAAGAAGGCTTGGGGTCTGGGTTTTAGGCCACGTCTAGACGTCATGGGTCTCTGCAACGCAATAAGGAGTGTTGTGTATTTTGTGGGGGCCGGCGGGTATCGGACACATCCTACTTTATTCGCATTCTCCAAACGCCACGCAGACAGAAGCTTATCCATCAACAGCGTCTCTGCACAGAAACCTTTGCCAGGGCTGCAAGAGTGGCGGAAGTTTCAGCCCTAAACTTGGAGCCCTAAAGCCCTGGCTGGGAAATCCTAAAGCTGAGACCCCAGTCGAGGTTCCTGTGCATGCTTCAGTTTATCTTCCACTCCCTTGGGGAGGTCCCTCACCTGCTTCTCGGCTTCAGTGTTCGACATAGCCTGAGTGTTCCAAAAATCAGGGTAGATGCTGGGGTGCCTCGACTGTGAGGAATATCGTGTTTGAGGTCTTTTGGTTTGTTGTCTTCTTCCTGTGGGGTGCCTCCAATTGTCTGCTTCTTTGGTTTGCATGCCGGGCCCCAAGCCTTGCGAAATGCTCCAGTAGACCGATCCGCATAAAACCCCAAGCCCTCAACCGCGAAACCTCATGTACCCTGAGCTCGAAGCCACATGTCCGGTCTGCAGGCCCTTTAATGCTTCATGGAACAGATCCTAAATGGGGATGCGTAGTCCCTTGTCCTGGTAATTCATTTTTTGGGGCCCTGATTTGGATCCAATACCTTAAGCCTAGTGAGGCCCTACATCCGCAGTCTTAAGCTAAGCCTTCAACCCTAAACCCCAAACACCACACCCCCAAACCCTAAGCCGTGAAGCGAGAGGAAAACAGCCCCCTAAGCAAAGCCTATACCAGAAAAGCCTTAAACTTACCCGTGGTTAGTAGGGAGTAAGGGAATATAACCCTTATAATCCCTATATAATATACTCCCTTATTCCCTGCTAACCCTAGACCCTAAACCCTAAACCCTCAAGTCTAAATTCTAAACCAGGTTAACCTTCCTGGCAGTGTCCTTACTGGCCTTTAAACGGGGCATTGCCCCCGCATTCTTCCCGCGCGTGGCTGGGTCAGAACTTCACCCAACTTAAGTTTGTAGGGTTTAGGTTTCTAGTGTTTGGGGTTTTAGGGTTTAGGGTTTTAGGGTTTTAGGGTTTAGGGCTTGGGGTGTAGGGTGTAGGGGTTAGGGTTTTGGGCAAGCCAGGGGGTTGATCCGTAAGGTTTGGAATATGGGGCTTGTATAGAGCAATTAAAAACAGGCGTCATACAGTGTTTCTATTTTAAGGTGCGTATAGGGGTAGTATAGGGATTATATAGGGGCATATGGGGATGTATAGGGATATTACCCCAACAATGGAAAATCAAAATGGGAAAGCCGATGGGACAATTTAGCATTTAGGGTTTAGCCTTTTAGGGTGGAGAATGAAGGGGAGATGGGTAGCTACTATGGGGTTTAGGGGTTCAGGTTCAGGGTTTACCTTTAACCCCAATTACCTACCTACAGGTAGTTATATGTACCCCGTCAGTCAGTAGGTGTAAAGCCTTAGGGCGGTACGTGACTATGTTTACTGGCAGGGTTTAGGGTTTTCACTCTTCACGAGTCCTGGGTCAGATTTGAATGGCGTTGCTTGATTTCGTTGTGGGTTTAGGCTTCAAATTCAAGACGGTCCAGGACTCATTTAATTTTTGAAGTATGACTTCTTCCAAAATTCTTTGAGCAGCTTACTTGTCTCCCAGGATCCCTGATGCCCGAATAATTCGTGAACGCGACAAAGGCTAAACGTCTTATGACTAGAGCTCCCCCAGATTTCGAGTGCTTCCCTCCAATTCATGTCGAACCTCTCATGTTGCAAGAAAATTCCGAAACCCAAAACCTTACGCCCCTAAACTCCACACCCGAAGCCTTAATTAAGCACTGAACCCTACGCCCGAAACCCTTAGCCCCAAACCAAAAGCCCCCCACCCTAAGCCACAAAATTTTATAGCCCCCCTGAAGTAGATAGAATATGGCTCTGGGGATATTACAATAAGATCCCCACATACCCCATATTCTATCTACTTAAGGGGGACTGTAAACCCAACCCCAAACCCTAAACCCTAAATAGTAGTTTCCATTTCTTTTCCATGATTCCAATATAACCCCTACAACCCCTAGAGTCTATCTACTTGAATCTACTTAAGGGGGACTAGAAACCCTAGATCTCCGAACCTGGCTTAGGTAGATCATCCACTGCACTGGTTGGACCGAGTTCGCTGCTGGGCTCTCCACACCGGTTTAGGGTTTGACGGCTTACCAGGTGATAATATAGTATATTATAGCATAATCTGGTATGATATAGTATATTATACTATATTCTATACTCCATATTATATACTATATCATATATGATATGGATTTACAGTCCGAATTTTTGGGTCTTAGGACATCATGGTGAAGGGGGGGAATTAGGCTTCAGGGCTTCCGGCTGTAGGGATTCGGGTTGGGTTAGGATTGAGGAAGGATGTGTTGATGGAGTCTGCCCTCATCTTACAAGTGGGAAGAAACCCTAAACCCTAACCTAGTTGGGCACTTTCACAACGACCAGAAATAAGGGCACAGGAGCGTCGCGCGAGGGGTTTCCTAAAATAGGGGTCTGTTTTGGGGATCCGCATGATAAGGATTATGGTTTTGTTGGGTCGATACCGCCTATTCATGGAAACTGCTATATGTTTTTGACAAAGGGCAAAATAACAACTGGCAACTACCTGGCATGTCTCAACAACGGCAATATTGCAACCCTTATTTGTGCTCATGCAGAAGATCTTGACATGAATGTATCTCAGGTGGGCCAGGTGGTTTCTGAAAGGCTCATTAGACTTTCCCCATTCTCATCACGGTTTAAGGATATGTTGGTCTCCATAAAGAGTGGGACCCCAATATAGACTCCAATCTGTTCCAATCCTTATGAAGGGACCCCCAAAAAGGAACTTCTGATTTGTGGAAGCCCCATCTCTCCTCTGCGTATGCTTTCGAACGAAGAGAGTGCCCGCAAGTTGGTCTCATGTGCAGTTTTTGGAAGGGCTTTTGCCGTATATTAAACCCTAAAACCCTAAATAGTAGTTTCCGTTTTTCTTTTCCATTATCCCAGTACAACCCCTATATAACCCTGATATTACCCCAATGGGTATATGATGAAGGAGCTCAGGAGCAGAGATGGACTGCAAACGAATTATTTTGATAGGTTCCTCTCTTGGCGACAGCTTTGACATCCCTCGTTGAAGACTATCTCGGACCTGTTGCAAGTTTGCTACTCACCACAGTTGCTTCTTTAATGTCCTTTGCCGTGGCCGCTAATGGCCAAACGTGGAATTTTAGCATGCTCCAGCGTATGCTTCTCACCTGCTGGCTTTAATCTTTCAAGGGGTCAGAAACCAGCAAGTGCTAGTTGACGCTAGGCATGCATGGTTCCATGGCAGAATGACCTACTATGTAACTTTAGTCCAAGCACCCT